AGGAGGGGTTGGGAAGGCTAATAGAGAAGAGGGCCTCTTCCAAAACTGAAGACAGAGGCAATGGTAATTGCTGAAGGATCAAAAGAAGAATAAAAAATATCGAGTATCAAATTTATAAAACCATGTACAGGTTACCCAATATCTTACACCGAACCTTTAAGTTGACTGTTTCCCAAGTGTGGGTGACTAAAGAGCTTAATTTGGTATTGGTATTCTACACAGTGGGATTGGGAGCCATTCCCTCCAAGTGTTGTAATCTGCCCGAGTTCCGGAATCCATGAAATATTTATTACTTCGTGGAATCAGCCCTCAAAGTACAAGATCAATGATTACAGACCAAAATAAAGAAACAAAAGCTGAAGCATTTTGGCCATGCATTTGAATAGAAGCGAGGGATTGGAGAAGATCAGATGGGAAAGATAGATGGGAAAAGAAAAAGGGAAAGACCGAGAAGGCAGTGGGAAAGGGACATATGGATGTTTTCGACATGTTACTAACAGAAGTTGGAAAATTGGCAGTTGATAGATAGCGTTTCCGCTGTGCGGTCAACGATGCGACGTCCAATAGGATAGGAAGTTGGAGTTAGAGTAGGAATCAGGAAACCTGGGCTTTGGAATCCGTTATAAACGGGGGAATCCCGCTAACGATTGGAATCCCGAATCCAAGTTCCGCTGACAAGTCTGCAATCCATTGATTAAAATCCGAAGCCCACAGCATAAAATCCACGAATGTCTTTTAATAGATTACATCACATACGGGAGACATTGATAGGTTTTGGATGGAGATATACGTATCTAATATAAAACTCCCTTTATTGCTTGTGCAAGAAGCTCTCTTGACATCTGCTTCCATCAATTTTCGTTTTCTTTTTCTTTTTCTTTGCACAGTTTTCATCGTTATGTGCATGCTCAAAAGTCATATCCGCAGGCGTGTCATGTGTGGAAGGTGCTCACAACAGAAATAATTGTTGCTTTAACAGTGGAGTGAATGTTTGTTTTATTTAAGACACCAGCAGTTGTAGTGGTATACAATTTGGCTTCAATGTTTTAGTTTCAATCAATCAGATTTTTTAGTTTTATTGCAATTTATTGTTTGCTTTCAGGAAATCTAGTGTTCAGTTGTGTTATAAAATTACTCTGCCGAAACTCACGAATCAATAAAGTAGAAAATAAGTTTTCATTCCAAAAGAGATTTCTCCCTTAAGGTGATTCACTGGTTTTGCACTGCGCATCTCTTACGGCGCATAACAAGATGGCCACCGCAAAAAAGAGCATCTGAAGTAACATTATTCAAATGAAGTTCACTGAAGAGAACTCTATTGGAATTTTTGCTTGCGGTTGTTTCTTGCCGAAGTGAGACTGTGTGTGTTGGGAATGTGCATAACGTAAGAAGTACGCGTGTTGCTGAGTTCGACTTCCTCACGGAGAACCTCGCCGAGTGGATGTTAACTTGTACTTACTCATTTTGATTTTCATTTAAACGCTTTCTTTATCACATTAGAGCCATTTATACAAGGAAAAATAAGACGCGTCTTACATAAGACGCGTCTTAAATAAGACGCGAACTGTACCATTTATACGAGCAGCTCGTATAAATGGTTCGCGTCTTATTTCTGTTCTCGACTCGTTTTCATGTGAATGTTGCCCGTAACAACGGCAGCCAACAAGGCGCAAAAATTTTCCCGCCAAAAATTAACGCATGCGTACCATGCGTTCGCGTCTTATGTAAGACGCGAAGGTCATTTATACGAAGTTTTTCTCGTCTTAGCTAAGACGCGTCTTATCTAAGAACAGGTGTTAAGGGCTGTTCTAAAATAAGACGCGTCTTAGCTAAGTCGCGTCTTATTTTATACGAAATGTGCCGTTTATATGGAAAGTTCGCGTCTTATTTAAGATGCGTCTTATGTACGACGCGTCTTATTTTTCCTGGTATAAATGGCCCTATTGTGTCCTAACTGTGATATCTCGATGTAAATTCTGTAAAAACGAATGTTTTATTACTTTCTTTCCCCTCTCACACACATGCCATTTTAAATCCCGCCCCAGTACTCTCTCAAAAATCGAAGAAAATGCATTTGGTGCGCACTTTCTGTAGCTCTACCGCGAAAACGAGTACGGTGACCCCCATTTTTTATTTCAAGATTTTAATAAGGATAGTGCTTCCTTTCGATGAGAAAAAATTGGCACAAATCTATGTTCAGTTTTTTGGCAATTTTACTAAATTGTACGGATTGAGCTATCACTGGTCGAAGAGCGCGTGTCCAATTTAAATCTACTTTGGAGCGTTAAGTAAAAACAAGGGCATTAAAAGGCATTTTTCGGGAACGTGAGTCGATAAACAATACATTAAAGTCAAATTCTGTGCGTTACCACATGCATCATCGAAAAAATCTCTCCTTTTTGTCTACTTTTGGGCTGCGCGGGGTTTTTGCCAAAGGGTCCTAAACAGCCGTATTTGTCAGCATTGTGACGTCAAAACAAGCACGGTGACCCCCACTTTTTATTACCTTTTTATCATCTTCTTGACTTGTTACATCAGTGTACCAAGTTTCATCTACAATCTATGTTACGTTCTTTTCTGTTTTTGAGGTGTAGTATAGCTGAAGTAATGAACTGCACGCGCCGGGAGATAAATAGAGAACTAATTAACAAAGCAATCGAAATACTGTATCGTTATCGTCATAAGGACTAAAATATTTAATGCGTTAAACGCTATAATGCTATAATCTAATGTCATAAAAAAAAAAACGACTAATTATTAGTTAAATCTAGAATTTCTTCTTCTTTTTTTAATTGGCTATCATTGGTTCGTAAAGTTCAGTTTCTATTCAGGTGCAGGCAGGCAAGCCGGGAACCGAAAAAGATGATGGAGTTTAGTTAATAAAATTTAACAAAAAACCATCAAACTTTTGATGGTTTTAAAAACTGTTGCCTTGTGTTTTGTCTTTTCAATGTGTCTTATCACTTTTAGCCACTTCGCCACCACACAAAAAATCTTACGCTTGGGCCTTCTCATGCCATCCAGAATACCTTTTGGAAATCCCTTGGATGAAACGAGTTTGACAAAAAGGAAAAAAAAAAATCTCTAGCACTCACTAGGGTAGCCTTCTCAAAATTCCTCTGCTATTTTATAGCTTGCGAAACAAGAGAATTCAGGCATGCGAGAACGAATTGGGCGCTCAAGAAGAGTATGTTTCTAAATTTTTATCACATTCTCAGCTCGATGATCAACCCTTTTAGAGCAAATTAGCCCGCCCTCCACCCATGAAGGACAGCCGGACGCATGGATTTCAGTGAAGTCGATTTTCACCAATCAGATCGTTGCGTACTCAAATTAGCATAAATTATTTTTCTTCTCAATATTCAGAGAAGCGGAAATTTGAGCCTCGCTCACTTGGCTTTCGGTAGAAGTAACAAAGACAACATGTATATATCTATATTTTGTTACTAAAAGCCTAATGTACATTTGAAGCACTGACACAATTATAAAGAACAATAACAAAGACTCTCTATTACAACGACAAGAAAGGGAATAATAATAATAATAATAAAAAGTCACATTTCTTTCAACTGATACAACTGTAAAAGGAAGAATACTCAAGTTATCCTTTAACATACTACATTTTACTTGTTAACTTTTTGCTATAAAACTTACTAGCGGGCAATTTTTTTCGTTTTTGCGTAACCCGGAAATGGTCTATCATGATCACAACTACGGAGAAGTTCAGGTTTCCTACTCCTCTTTTGATCCAATCTCATTTCTTAAGTCCCAATTTTTCTTTCGCTATGGTGATTAAAGCTACACCTATATCGAACACGCATCAATCATTCGGGTTATTGTACACGTTCAGAGTTTTTAAGTCTTTAAGTCTGGTTTAAACTGCGTGTGCGGAGCTAGAACAAACACTGCGTCTTAAACTAGTTAAATGCGCCTTAAGCTAGTTTGAGTGCCAAAATATTATTTACATTTTCATGAAAAGTATGATATAGAATATTTTCCAGAGGAAGCCAAGGTCTTAGCTTACCTCCTATTCTTTTCACATATTAAGCAAAAAATTGTAAGACCTTTATTTGGAACCTAAATTTATAACTCCAATCCAAGAAAATGGTCAATCTCCAGAAATAGGATAGCCTGAACTTGTTACAAAAAACTGATATAGTTTTTGTCAATAACATTTGAAATATGACAATGCAAATTACACATGCAGAGATCTTGCAATCCTTTGACACTGGCGTTCGGAGACTGTAGAAAAACCACCAGAAAAAATAAAATAAGAAACTTGGTCAAAGACTGGGCAGACTATGACAGGGGCCTAGACACTTCTTCAATCATTGTCCGGGACACTGACTCCCATCCAGTGTAAGCGTCACCCAGGGTGTGACCACAACTACACTTTCCTACCCATAAATACGCTCTAACTGCGCCTTGTAGAATGTTTTCAAAGTATCCCTCAAGTGACCGTAGCAATTATTTAGGATATTTCTTGTTTACCTTAATCTTTCCGTTATAAGTATCGCTGTTTGATTTCCACACACATTGTTTCCAGTTGGTTTGTGGTATTACACTTGCTTGGCTTGCTTTGGCGCTTTATCCTTTCTCTCCTTTGTTTCCTTTTCTTTCTTGATTTCCCACAATGCCTCGCTCTCCTTTCATTCACACAAGTCCCGTTTCATCTTTTATTCCATGGGGTCTGCTCTTCCCAGGAGGCCCTTCGCGCCCTCTGTCTCCTCTTGGACCCGGCATTCCTTGCGATCCCAAATGCCTCGCTCTCCTTTCATTCCCACAAGTCCCGTTTCATCTTTTATTCCATGGGGTCTGCTCTTCCCAGGAGGCCCTTCGCGCCCTCTGTCTCCTCTTGGACCCGGCATTCCTTGCGATCCCTTATCACAGATCTGTCCTTTTGCACCTTTCCTTCCCTGGGGTCCTTGCGGTCCAGGAATGCTCGGCATTCCAGGCATGCCATTTGACCCTAGAATGCCGGGAAAACCATGACCCAGGATAGATTTCTGAAAATTAAAATGAATTTTTTAACATGAGCTTATTTAAGAAAGGGCTATTTATAACGATAGAGAAAGTGATCGGGTCAAATGGGTTGTAAGACTTCAGTTAATCCACGGCTACTAATGTAGGAAATAAAAAAAATAATAATAAAAAAATTAAAAGTCAATAAATAAATAAATAAATAAATAAATAAATAAATAATAATAATAATAATAATAATAATAATAATAATAATAATAATAATAAATCACGTCAATGAAAAAAGCACAGCGCTATAATTTTATTGATATGATATGACCGGCTAACCATACCCGTCTTTTACGAGACAGGCTGACAAATAAATTATTTAAAAGGTCAGAAATGTCAGGAGCTGGCCACAATATCCCTACTGTTCTTTTTCGTCCTGAGTTCTACACTTTTCTGAGATGTGGAAGTGTGAAAGAACCCTGCTTTCCTATTTTATCCCTTATTCTACACTAGTAAAAGGTGTAGAATATATAAAATATTGTCGTACTTTTCCCCTGGTCAAGAACACTTTGTCATTATTTACTTAGTTCTAAACTTCTCAGAGGTGTAGAAGTGTGTGGGAAAAGTCTGATTACAAGACGTGAGACCAAAATTTGGACGAATATCAACACCAATATCAACTAAAAAAATAATAAGACACAGAGGGAGTACGGTAGGCTATGAAAAAGGGGGCTTTAGATTGCGCCTGTATGCATGTATATTACTTCATGCAATGTTTTTTCACCCACTTTCCCAGTAATGACCCAGAAATGTCAGCAAAAACAAAATAATTATTTCATACCTCGCATAAGTCTTTTAAATTTGCGGTGTTTTGTTGCTGAGGTGAGATGGTTGTTTCCAGCGATCCCCCAGAAAAACAGAGAATCAACAAAACAGCGAAATACTGAACTATCATAATGATCTGGAGAGTTGAACCAGAACACAGTGAATGGACCAGGTTACATGCTCACCAGTTAAAATAATAAATATTTGTTTTGTTCCTGTTTTACTGTTGCTGGTTACTTTCTTATTTAATTTCCTTTTATGGCAGTTATTCGTGTTTGTTTTCCTTCTCGAAAAAAGTTCCCTTCGAAAGTAAGTCGTTATACGTATAGGTATTGTTTCAATGTTTGTCTTCATGATCACCACATCATTTATTCACACGTATAGACATGCACGTTTTGTTGGAGTTGGCCTTGAAGTAACCTATATGGCTTATTACAGTGTATTACATGTTTATATCTATGCGCTTACATGGTAGTGGCCATGGGAAATAGAGATCTTAGGCGGCCAAAAGAGAGATCGCACTGACGCGAATTAGTAGTTTTGATTATTTTAGTCTTTTAATGTTTAATAGTTTTTTAGATCAGAATTCTATATGTTGTTGTTCGATCCCGTTATCTTACAGCGAGGGCATAAAAAAGCAATGGTAGAATATAGAGAATTGACTCTGGAATGATATGAACAAACCATAAACCCTAATGACCGTTAGCCTATAATAAGGGAATAGACCGATTTTGATAATGTTAACATCATTACTTTGCTCTGAGGCTGAGGGAAATGAAACAAAAAAAGTGTATATTCACCTCTAAACTTTCAATTGATTGCTAATATTTATCCCGGAAGCCTCAGAAACAAGAATGGATTTATTACATGGAAATTTGTCGATTGGGGCACCAAATGAGACCGAGAAAAAAAGTCTTATGAACTGGATAGGGTTCGAGCCCACTGCCACCGGGTTTGCTCTATACGCTGCTTCCCAGGGGCTAGACATGAGTAGTAAAGTGATAAATAGCGCAGATATTTTCGGGCGCGGAAAGAAGGATAGGTTCTTTTAGTTTGCCACTTGAGCCCCACTTCTTTTACGAAACACTCAGTGCAGTTTAGTAGGATTTTTAGCACTTAAATCTCTTAGTTTTCTCTCATCCATTTGATTTTGCCACCGGCGCATCATTATAGGGTAGAAAACAAACAATTGAACAAAGAATTTCTCACGTCGAATGAATTTCTAACATCAACTACAGCCCAGTTGTTTTTATCTTATTGGATTTCCTGGCTTTATAATCGGTTTTCCATAAAATAACAACCAAATCCGGGGTGTTATCTTTTACACTGTCTCTCTTTTCGAGTGTCTGCTTCTTGTTCTGTTTTTTGAATGAAATATGTTTATCGATCCTTTTTTTATTATATTTCCACTTATTGCAACCTTTTTATCGCAATCTCATGTATCATATTTATCAAGCATATTTATTTTGCAGTGCTTTGTTGCTGAGGTGAGGTGGTTGTTCCCTTGAGTGATGATCTCCATGAAATACAGAGAATGAACAAAACAGCGAAACACTAAACCATCATAATAATGAGAGTTGAACCAGAAGGCACTTAATAGACCAGTGCTACGTGCTCATAAGTGAAAACTAGTAACTATTTGTTTTGTTCCTGTTTTACTGCTGCTGGTTACTTTCTTATTTCATTTCCTTTTATGGTAGTCATACGTGTTTGTTTTCCTTCCGAACACACCTCCCTTTGAAAGTAAGTCGTTATACGTGAAGGTATTGTTTCAATTTTTATCTTCATTATCACCATATGATTTATTCACGTATGCATTGACACGCACGTGTTTTGTTGGAGTTAGCCTTTTTTCTGGAGTAACCTTTACACCTTCTCATTACATGTTCATGTCGATACACTTACATGGTAGACTCAGGCGGCCAAAAGAGTGATCGCAGTAAAAGTAAGTCTCCTTTTCGATTTAAACTTGTAATATCGAGCAAGTTAATTTTTTAACTCCTGGCTCAGTTTTTGTTTGCTTGAGCTTTGGAAATGGTGGTACAATTTCTCGGAGGCAAAAAGTGTAAAGATTTGTAGAGAAAAAAATTGCCAATCTATGACTAAAACTGTACTTTAAAAACGAACTAAAATATTCAAAACGCTATGGTCACGTGTCTGATGACGTCATATCCCTCGTTTGGTCGTTAAAAAAAATTATCAGGTAGATCATTACTTTCTCGCAAATTTTCACTGCCGTGTTTTGAAACATCGACTTTCTACAGCCCTCGGCCTAGTCTCTCGACTTTTTCGCTCATATTGATTCCCCCCTGATTCCCATGCGGGAAGTCAACAGGTTACTTTTAACAGCCCCACACAACCAACACCTTAAACATGCTATTTGTTTTCAACTCGATAATGAAATCTTGTCCCAGCAACAAAAAGACCTAATTTGGCAATAGTCACGTTATCAATGACGTCATTACCCAATGTAAAATGAAAAGATATTTTATAGCAAATGTTATGGCAAATGTTATCTGACATTCTTCTAGGTATAAACTTATCAACGTTACAAAAAGTATTTTTAAAGTATAAATAAAAGTATTATTATTTATTTATTTATTTTTTTTATCATGATGATGATCTATTTTTTTTTCCTAGTTAGCTTACATTTCTTGTAAATACGATTGCTGTTGTCCAAAACATCAGGTCAAAAATTCAAGAAGCCTGAATATTTGTTTGATCGTATCTATAGGCTTTTGAGTGTAAATTTCGAGTACGTTTTACCACATTTGTGCATGTTTCCATGAATTTCGTCACGTTCTAAAGAAAGTATAAGGGATAACATGTGAATGAAATTTAACTTTTTGCTGAAAGCCTTGCACAGTGAAGAAAATACACTAAAAAGAAGGGAAAGTTAAAAAAGATAAAGAGGGACGAGAAAAGTGGATAAAAATCTCCATCACATATAAGTAACGACCAATTTTACTTGAATACTCGAATTATTGTTTAAGTGACGATTACTACATCAAACCTCTAGGGTAATTAATGTAATTAATTACTCGTTACGAGAGCCCAGGAAATCGCCTATCATCACGAGTATTAACTTCAATAATATCAAAGATTGTCGATGACTACGTTCAATAAGCTTTATTGGTCTTGTTTTAGAGTAATCTCACTTTTCTCTGCTGTTCTTGTTATTATTTAAGTTACATCTACATTAAGCACAGTTCAATCACTCCAGGTTACCGTAGTTACCATCAAATTTCTCAGACGTTCAAATGTCTAGTTAGTCTTACTGACAACTAATTTGACTAACAACAGTCCATGCTATCTTCTCAAAACGACGACTAAAAGCAAGGCTTATTGAGTACGCGAAATCTAAGCCATGTAATTTACCTCAACATGTCTTTCGCGCAGATAAACTACTTGAATTGTTGTTTTATTTTTCAAGAAAAGTCGAAAGAGAAAACACTTAATCACCCGGAATCGAGGGAGGGAGACTCCCGTTAGGACTGGGGCCTAGATACTTCTTCTATCATTATCCGGGATACTGAATTCCACCCAGTGTGAGCATTACCCAGGGTGAAGCTACCACACTTTCCTACCCATAATTCCACTCTAACTGCGCCTTTTCGAATGTTCTCACAGTACCCCTCAAATGACCGATGATGATACAGATTAGAATTTCCTGATGACCATTCGTTGTAAATAACAGCCTCAATCGTCATTGGTCCAGTACATTCGTTTCCATTGAACTTGAAGTACCACCGATTACCCTTAGTATGACCATAGACCCTCATGTTTCCCTGGAACGAGACTTTGAGCGCTGAATCCGACTTTAATTTGTTGAAAGCACACTCCTGGCAAACAATTAAAATATATTTGGTAACGCCTCTATTCTTGTAATACTAATTAAAAAGGGAAATAAAAATCAGCTGAAAGAGGTGACATAAAGTTAAGATCACCAGAGGGGGAAGGGTAAGCAGATTTTTCTTCTCAGAGCTATTTAATTGACTCCAAATTAATTTACTCAGCAACTTCTTAAATTTTCTTCCTTTTTGTATCGAATGCGATCGTCTACTTTCCTTGTGATCTATAGCAATTATTTAGCATATTTCTTGTTTACCTTGATCTTTCCGTTATCGGTATAGCCGTCTGATTTCCACACACATTGTTTCCAGTTGGTTTGAGGTACCACACTTGCTTGACTTGCTTTGACGCTTTCTCCTTTCTCTCCTTTGTCTCCTTTTATTCCTTGATTTCCCATAATGCCTGGCTCTCCTTTCATTCCCAGAAGTCCCGGTTCTCCTTTTATCCCCATAATTCCTGACGGTCCGCTCTTCCCGGGAGGCCCTTCGCGCCCCCTGTCTCCTCTTGGACCCTGCACTCCTTGTGATCCCTTATCACCAATTTGTCCTTTTAGACCTTCTCTTCCCTGAGGTCCCTGCGGCCCAGGCACGCCGGGCATTCCCGGCATGCCATTTGACCCTGGAATGCCTGGAAAACCATGACTCAGTATAGATTTCTGAAAGTAAAGATGTGTAATTGAAAGAAGAGCCATAGCCTATTATAGCAGCGAAGGGAGGTAATGTATTGAGAGAGTAATTGCAGTCTGTCTTAGAGAGTCTTAGAGACGAAGCGGGAATGAAAGCGTACAAATTCAATAAGTAATGAAGAACGGCGGGAAGTTTTAATCTAAATTCATGACTACCTATAATAATCCATGTGAAACCGAAAGTTTTAATAAGTAAGCTAGCAGGAATTTTATATCAAGGATTGTTTTAGCAAGGCTACTTATATTCATAAAGAAAGCGGTCGAGACAAACGGTTTGCCGAACTCCGAGTTTTCACCCTAAGCAAAACAAAATATATCTATATTTAAAGAAAGAAGAAAAAAAAACTAATAATAATCAAGATGATGATGATAATGATGATGATGACGGCATTGAACATCATCGGCATAACATAGTATTTTTAGATAAAAAGCAAGGATGGTGTCATATAATTGTTGTAGTCGTCCCTCAGGGAGCTACCCGAATGGTTAAAATTGAAAAAAGGAAAAGTCGGAATAATGCAATGATGCTCGGCTAAGGAATGTAAGTGCTTCAGAATAACGTAATAGTTGGAGCTTTGGTTTTGGTGTCAAATGCAAATTCCTCAGACTAGGATAATTATTGCTAGATTAATAATAAAATGATAAAAATAATGATAATAGAGATGATGATGATGATGATGATGATGATGATGATGATGATGATGATGATGATGATGATGTGGAAGATGATATAATAATACATCAGTCAATTCCAGCTGTGCCCAGCGCCTCCCCCCCCTCGCCCCTCCGGGCTACTGCGGGGCATTTGCCTGCCTTTTCAGTCCCGGGGGTGGGGCATTTGCAAATTACGCTCTGCCTGGGGGCCGGGCATTTGTCAATCCCGGGGCTATCCCCAAGCTTTTGATACGCACGGGGGTTCCTATCAGAATATAACTACACAGATGATTTTACGGGAAAAACAAGCATATTGGTTTAATTGTCAGGGACAGTTAAAAATTGAAGAGGGTTGTAAAGGCTAATGTTCTCAATTTCATGCATGCATTTTCTCATTGCTTATCAAGCCAGAATCACATGGCGAAATTGGGAGCTATCAGGACCTGAATCAACGTTTTTTAGTTAAGCTTTAATTGAATCATTGAATATTCGTTATTTGAAGATCATCCTTCCATATTTGTAAAACGATTCGATATAACATATAACTTTGTAGCGCTCTATTAATTTTAATGTCAATAATTTTATAACAATTCTAAAACTATAAACTGGTGTCGTCGTGGCGTTCAGTCTTAATTAGAATCCTAGACTGTTCACAGTCCTCTATTTTTCCGTAAGATCATCGAGATCGAGCGCTTTGCGTTACGGGCTGCCATCTTGCATGAGTGTCAAAACTACTTAGGGGGCGGGGGTGGTTTGGGAGGAGGCGAGAAAAATAGAGGGACTGTAATGACATCACTGCAGTTCGCGTTCAGGAGGCGTGACAGGAATTTCACGCCCTTTACCATTTATTAATTAAGAAACTCTACTGGTGATGAAAAACATGCCAGACACATTTAGCATCGATTACGCGTGTTTACGAACATCTCCTTTCGAAACAGTGATTTTATAATGTTTCTAGCCCATTCCTCGAAGTAAAATCAGCAAACATACACAAGAAAACATTTTCCTAATCAAAATAATAAAAATCCTTCGTGTGTTTGCGCAAGATGTGCCTTATAGTATGAAAGCGTACGTTTTATGGAAGCGTCGACTTGTCAACGACTTGTCGGTGTCGGCAACTTAAACTAAACCCGTTGTCAACGCAAATTACAATCCCTCTATCCACCCCCCCCCCCCCCCCCCCCCCCCCCCACCCCCCCACCCCCCCCCCCCCCCAACCCACAAAAACAACAACAACAGCCAAGACACCACACACA